TAAAAGACCAAGATGAATACAGTGTGTCACTACTGCAGTAAAACATTTTTATTATTATTCTGAATAATTGAAGAGTTCAGTAATTCAAAGCCGACTTTCCCGATTTTCACAGCAATTGGCGCGACACCAAAAGATCCAGGTTCGAGTCCTGGTCTGAGCATTATCAGAGTTATAAAAAAATTTCACTGAGTAAAAAAATAACATCTTTGCTTAATAATTAAAGTTTTTAATTGTTAGACAATAGTGTGGTGAAAATATTTAATAAGTAAAAATTAAAATTTAGTCTACCATAAATTTGGATCGGGAAAATTGGCTTTGAATTATTGAACAATTAGTGAAATCACCGATCTTTGGAATAAATGGAAATATATTCTAAATAATATTAATTAAAAAAAAAAAAAAAATTTATTAACACTCGCGGAAAATTAATTTATAAATTAATTTCTGCAAAGAAGAAATAGTCAAGAATAAAAAATGTAAAGAAGAAATTTTTTTTGAAACGTTCACAACCCGGACAGATCCTCGACTGAATGATAAACTAGTCTTGATTGGGTTAATATAGTCCGACAGTAACTCTAATTGGTCTCTCTTAGCTGCGGGGGAAATGATTGGTCAATTTAGACCTAGAACTGCGATGCATTAAGCATTCAACAGGCGTTCATTCCTATTAACCGCCAGCAGTTTTAAGCTACGACCAGCATCACCGATCGGATCCTCAAGTCTTCCGTGTCGATCGCCACCACCATCATCATCATCATAAAGATCATAATAATAATAATAATCATCTGAAGAAGAAGAAAAAGAAAACTACAATAGCTTACTTACCCTTATCATAAAAATCTCTTTCTATTTATAATTTTTTTTTATTTATTCACTAGAACGTTTCAAATCAATTTATCAATTGAAATCAGTGTCGCTTATGACTCCCTTGAATGGCGAGCAAACGTCATCCATTTGTCAAACGGTCATTCATACACGCTGCTACCATCACTTAAATTTACTTTTATATTCAATTAAATTCACTTATTTAATTATTCAATTACAGTTTTTTTTTTTTTTCAGTCGTTTTATTTCTATTAGCGTACAATTTATTGCTTTACAATTTATATATAATTAATTTTGTAAATTGTTTGGTTGAAGTTTGCTGGAGAACATCACCAGCGTGCCAAGTAGTCGGGCATAGGTGAGTTTTTAGTTACGAATCACCTACGGCACTACTACTTAATGCGCGGGTGTGCTTCTGGATAATGGAAGATTTTTTTTTTAAAGAGAACCCAGTGTTCTTTTTTGGGAAATTGTTATGGTGATAATAGTTGTAAGAGGAAGAGAAAAATTTGTAAATAGAAGGAGATAAGTTTGATAAGATTGGGAGATTAGGGTTTTCTTTTTTTTAATTTTGTAATTAGGAGGAATAGTTGTATTATGAATCACTGGTAAATTTTGTTGACGAGGTGCAGGTTCAACTTGTGAACGTATCAGTGAGCGTTTACTACAATCGCCCATTGTTACGGTCACAAACTGAAACAACTCCAATTTTTATCTAATTATTTAAATTAAAATTTTTTTTTAATTTATTTTAATAATAAGTTTTTTAAATTAATTTTAAAAATAAGTTCTTTTAATTAATTCTTTAAAATTAATTTTAACATTAATTTTTTAAAATTAATTAAAAAATTAATTTTTAAGAATTAATTTTGACATTAATTTTGTGATATTAATTTTTGAAAATTAATTTTAACATTAACTTATTGGTATTAATTTTTAAAAATTAATTTTGTGATATTAATTTTTTAAAATTAACTTAAAAATTAATTTTTTGATATTAATTTTTAAGAATTAATTTTAACATTAATTTTCTGATATTAATTTTTTAGAATTAATTTAAAAATTAGTTTTTTGATATTAATTTTTGAAAATTAATTTTAACATTAATTTTTTGATATTAATTTTTTAAAATCAACTTAAAAATTAATATTTTGCTATTAAATTTTGAAAATTAATTGGAACATTAATTTTTTGATATTATTTTTTTAAAAATAATTTTTTAAATTAATTTTCAAAACTTCTAAAAATAATTTTTAATTCTTTTCAATCAATATTTTTAAACAGAAAAATTTCCTTTAAAGACCACCACAAGTTTGCTTGAAAATAGGTAGAATAATTCTTGAATTTTCCCATCGCCCTTGATGCGGGTCCATTATCAATCCCTTTTACTTTATATATCTATTTATTGGATTAGTCTCACCCGGTTATCTAAAATACAATCAATAATAATTGGAGTAATAAATAATTAAAATAAAAAATTAATCACGTTTTACCTACGTCATCAATCCAAATTACAAAGAGTGAATTAGGAAATTATAATTACCAAAAGACTTACACTAAGAGAAAAAAAAATGTTAATTAATTGTAAACTTCACTCCACATTTTACAAAATTATTGTGACTTTTTATTGTAAATAACTAATTAATTATTAGGGAAAATGTAATGTATGAGGTGTGTAAAATACGTATGAGCATGTGGCAACTTATGAAATGAAATCTAAACGACGCGTCACAACTTGAAAAGTAAAGTTCTCTTCTTGTACAATACAAAAGTTAGTTACACATGTACAGGTGTTTTAAATGATCACGTGTGCTATCAGAGGCCTATCTAAAGACATAACACATATGTCGTATTTTAACGAGTAGTTTTAGGTCTAAGTGACATTGATATCGCTGTTTCAACATTACAATTATCATTATAATTATTATAAATAGTTCTGTTTAAATATTTATAGCCAGTCATGAAGATTGTGCTAGTGATCGTGATCATGATCTCGATTATTATTATTATTATTGAGGAGTATTTAAGCGGGAATTAAAAAATCTTGGGTGCGTAAATTAAGCAGGGTCGCAGAGACCGCGAACCACGTTCTCTAATAAAACTAAGGGGACTTGTTCTAGAGAGTTTATTAAATTGGATAGAATGCGATGCGTAGGTCTATACGGCCGGATACACGGAGAATGAATCTCATCCAGTGGGAGGAAGTTTGAATTAACTTTATGCTTGTACGCTTTACTTCTCTCTCGGTGCCAAAAGACTCACCGATTATCGTTTTATTTAACAGTAATATTATTTCACTGGTCAAGCCAACGATACTTTTGTATTTTTAAACTTTTAACACAACGCCCTCTAGTCTTTTATTTAACTCACCGGTTCTCAAAAACTGGAGGTTAATTTTATTAGTTAAAAAAATATTTAAAGCTTTAAATATAAACAAGACTAGGTTTTTATACTCTTGCCATGTTTAAGTTTTAATAAAAAAATATTTGAAGTAAATATTGATTAGGAATTAAATATGGTTTGTAAAATAAAATTTGAGGTGAGGTTGACAATCAAGATGGCGGACTTTTAGAGACTAAAATTGACCAAACTGCTAATTTCTTTAGATTTAATTTTATTTAGTATTATTTTACTGTTCAAACTATTGTTACTTACTTTATTTAGCATTATTTTACTGTTCAAACTTAAGATACTTATAAACTGTACTTATTTTTGTATTTTAAAACTTTTAAAGGTTTTAGACAGTGCCCTCTAGTCTTTCATTAACTCACCGGTTCTAAAAAACTGGAGGTTAATTTTATTAGGTAGTTAAAAAAATATTTAAAGCTTTAAATATAAAGAAGACTATGTTTTTATACTCTTGCCATGTTTAAGTTTTGATAAAAAAATATTTGAAGTAATTATTGATTAAAAAATAAGTATGGCTTGTAAAATAAAATTTGAGGTGAGGTTGATAACTAATATGGCGGACTTGGAGACCAAAATTGACCAAACTTCTTACCTGTTGTCATTTATTATGACATTTGTTTAGATTTAATTTTATTTAATATTATTTTACTGTTTAAACCAAGGATACTTTTGTATTTTTAAACTTTTAAAGGTTTTAGACAGCGCCCTCTGTTTTATTAACTCACTGGTTCTCAAAAACTAGAAGTTAATTTTTTTAGGTACTTAAAAAATAATTAAAGCTCTAAATAAAAAAGAAGACTATATTTTTACATTCTTGCCATGTTTAAGTTTTGATAAAAAACTATTTGAAGTAATTAATGATTAGGAATTAAATATGGTTTGTAAAATAAAATTTGAGGTGAGATTAAAAACCAAGATGGCGGACTTGGAGATTAAAATTGACCAAACTGCTAATTTGTTTAGATTTAATTTTATTTAGTATTATTTTACTGTTTAAAATCAGGATTCTAATAAGTTGTACTTATTTTTGTATTTTTAAACTTTTAAAGGTTCTAGACAGCGCCCTCTGTTGTTTTATTAACTCACCGGTTCTCAAAAACCGGAGGTTTATTTTATTAGGTAGTTAAAACAATATTTAAAGCTTTAAATATAAAGAAAACTATGTTTTTATATTCTTGCCATGTTTAAGTTTTGATAAAAAAATATTTAAAGTAATTATTCATTAAAAATTAAATATGGTTTGTAAAATAAAACTTGAGGTGAGGTTGATAACCAAGATGGCGGACTTAAAGGTTATAATAGACCAAATTGTTAATTTGTTGTAATTTATAATGAAATTTGTTTAGATTTAATTTAATTTAGAGAAGAATATTAATAATAATAAACGTTATAAATATTTTTAATGACATTTGGATAGCATCAATGTCTTGACATGACCCGCCGTCGGAGATCGGCATGCTATGTAGGGAGTTGAGAGCCGTTTAAATCGTTTGACCTAACGATTTATACCACGCGACGAAGGGTCACGACTCGGTACATGCTACTTTCGATTAATTTTAAACTATATCTTATATTTATAAGTTATTGAAGTACAGAATGTCAAGAGTGTACTCCAGCCAAAAATATATTGTAAAAATAATAATTATATTAGTTTGTTTTTTAAATTAGTATATTCAATTTATTAAGCAACAAGTAATTTACAATTACAATTTTTTTTGTATTCAATATATAGTATATATATATATATTATTTAGTATGTACAATTATTATCCACGTTCGCATATTATGTCGACAACGCTGGGCTCCATTGGACTAGGCTCAAGGCACCGGTGGAAAGCGCTACTGAGAATTTCTTCTAGTAGAAAATTCACCAGACTGAAATTAAAAATAATTTATTAATTTATTGGATAATAGAAGAGAAGTTTGTTGATGTTTTTTTATAATTGTAATAATACTTTTCATCTGCAACAAATCGCCATAGATAGAGTTGTAGGTAATGAGTGTCGACCTGGATCTGCTGGAGCCCGTACTTGCTGAAAGTCCGCAGTCTTACGCACTCGAGAAAAGTCTAAAAAAAAAAAAGAATAATAATAATAATATAATTTAATACTTGACAATAAAATAAATAGTGACATTAAAGATAATCTGTAAATTTACGACTATTACGAATTAACGACAAAGTGAATAATGATGTTATTTTGTCATTGTGTCATAAAGTGCACCTGCATCTATTATGACATTATTTTATACATTATAATTTTTTAATAATTATTAATTTATCAAAAATTTTCAATAATCTATATTATTAAGAGAATAAGAAAAATTTTGTGTTCTTGATTTGAATTAGTGCCTGTATTCGAAAATGCTCTATCTATTATTTATCTATATCTCTAGATAAATAATTAAAAAATGACCTTGTATCTCGTGAACTATTGACATTTTTAAAGATATAAGCTCATCCCGATGTTATATATATATATATATATATATATATATATATATATATATATATATATATATATAAAATATAAAATATATAAAAATTGCCATGTGGGTACTCAAATGAAAGGTCTCGATGAGTGTAACATCGGGATAAGCTTATATCTTTAAAAATGTCAATAATTAAGAAATGACCTTGTGAACTTTGTATCTTGTGAACTATTGACATTTTTAAAGATATAAGCTCATCCTGATGTTACACTCATCAAGATCTTTCATTTGAATACCCACATCAATTTTTCATATATTTTATATATTTATATATATTATATATATGTATATATGAAAAATATATAAAAAATACATGTGGGTACTCAAATGAAAGCTCTTGATTACTGTAACATCAAGATGAGCTTATATTTTTAAAATATATATTATACATATGTATATATGAAAAATATATCAAAAATGCATGTGGGTACTCAAACGAAAGCTCTTGATGAGAATAACACCATGATGAGCTTATATCTTTAAAAACGTCAATTCACAAATCACGGAAGTCACATAGTGACTTGCTAGTTATTTTATTAAAATTTTTAAATAATTATTTTCTCAAAAATTCACATAAAATTAATTTACAAATTAAAATTGACTAATATTTTACCTTCAAACTTATTTTAATAATCCCAGTTAAAATCGACGACTTAGTAAACTGAACCGGAGCAAAGATTTCAATTCTTTCCGAGAACAGCTTGTGAATATTACTAACAAGCGATGAATCAAGCTGACTGGGAGTGTACGATGACCAATTTGACCGATACTGTTGCCTCGAAACGCTAATACTGAAAAAAAAAAAAAGCATTACTCAAATTACCCAGAAAAAAAATCACAAACAAACTCCTCCTTCCAGAAAATCCCACAAACAAAACCAAATAAATAAAAAAAAAAAAAAAAAAAAAAAAAAAAAAAAAAAACCTGTGAGTCTTCCGACTGCTATCGCTGCTCCTATCAACCTGTCCATCATTATCATCATAGAGCACCGAAACCTGCGCATCAATCGCAGTAATATCCTCAACAACGCGCTTCATAACCGCCCGCACCGTCCTGGGCTCAATAGTATGCAGCCAATCTCTAGTTTCAACAGACTTCCTGAGCATCTGCGAAACAGCCAGGCCTTGAAGCCTGACATAGTGATTCAGAAGATCTTGACCAGCTCTAGAAAACTCATTGCAAATATCTTGCTCAGAAGTGAGCGCGCTGACCGAAGCAGCGTAGGCTTCAACATTGAACATGTCATCAGTAGTGGAAATCAAATAGCGAATGCTTGAATCTTTAAATTCAATGCACATCTTGCTAAGCAGCAGCAAGAGCGTCGCGGGATATTTTGGAACATCAGACCTGGTGCAAAACCCACTTGCGACAGCTGTTAAGTGATGAAGGAGTCCAACAACGAGTCCTTCTCTGACTTCTTCAACGCAAAAAGTCTCCAAAAATTGCGGCTTTAAACTAAAGGACAAATCAGACTGCAAAAAAGCGGACAAATCTTGAAGAATTCCTTTTATTTTTTCAATTGTCGGCATCAAGAGCATCGCCTGGAGCTCCGTTAATCCTCCGTCGTTGTCAGAAGATATTTTAGCAGCCAAAGTCTGCCTAACTTTTGCCAAAGTTTCGTTTAAATGCTGCTTCAAGCTGTTCAAGTGACTCCGACACTGTTTTCTTCCCGAATTAATTAAAATTTCTATTCCGGTATTAGCAAAGTCTGCTCCGCTGCAGAGGATGTTCATCGCTTGGAGGCGACGGTAGAATCTGTCCAAAGCTCGGACGAGGATCGCTGTGTCTGAGACACCCTCCACTCTTTTTTTTACTAATTCAAAGTACTTGTTCATATTAGACACCACGAATTTGTCCAACCGGATCATTACATTGGCGTCTAAATCGTCAATATCAATGTCGTCTTCATTAGTGCGGGGTCTGTTGATGAACATGTCGTTGTAAGACGCAACTATTAAGCTCAAGTCTGAGAGGTACCCGGAGCTCCCGGCGTCTACGAACTCGATGATGTCGTTCTCGCACATGTCTTTCAAGGTTTCTAATTTTTCCGACAGCCTATTGTCAGCGTGGGTTAGAAAATCCTCGCACAAAGAATCAGCTGGTTCTTTGAGGCGCAAGAGTAAGTCGACACTCTCCGTTAGGGATTTTGTGGTCGCGTCTCGGCGGTGGAATTGCATTCGTAGTTGGGTTTTTAGCTCTTCTACTATTTCTTCGCAGTCTTTTTGGATCCCGTGGAAGGACGGCATGTGGCCGTATTTGTTTAGGACTCGTTGAGCGCGGATGTAGTCTTGTACGGCCTGAAATTGGTAATTCGTTTTAACAACTGACACTTGATAATTTTATTTATTAAATTGCACTGTACTGTCTTAAATATTGACGTTTTTAAAGATATAAGCTCATCATGATGTTATGCTCTTCAAGAGCTTTCATTTGAGTACCCACATGCATTTTATATATATTTTGAATATATGCATATATATGATATCTATAAATATATGAAAAACTGATGTGGGTACTCAAATGAAAGGTCTTGATGAGTGTAATATAGGAATGAGCTTATATATTTAAAAATGTCAATAATTAAGAAATTATATTGTATTTTGTTAAATTATGATATTTTTAAAGATATAAGCTTATCGTGGTGTTATACTCATCAAGAGCTTTCATTTGAGTACCCACATGCATTTTTTATATATATCATATATATACATATATATAAATATATGAAATATATGAAAAATTGATGTGGGTATTCAAATGAAAGGTCTTGATGAGTGTAACATCGGGATGAGCTTATATATTTAAAAATGTCAATAATTAAGAAATTATATTGTATTTTGTTAAATTATGATATTTTTAAAGATATAAGCTCATCTCGATGTTACACTCATCGAGACCTTTCATTTGAGTACCCACATCAACTTTTCATATATTTGATATATATTATAAATATGTATATACGAAAAATATACCAAAAATGCATATGGGTACTCAAATGAAAGCTCTCGATGAGT